TTAGTCCTAATTAGCAAGAAGCTCAGACCCACACCATAGGAAAGTTTCCAAAAATATTTATTCAAGCAGTGCAATAAGAATCTTTTCAGAACTGAGAACCAGAGTAACTTCCTCTTCAAGTCATATACAAATAGAATTTCAGCTAGTTTTACACACCAAAGCAAGATTCCATCTTAGCTTGTCAAAGTACTGACATGGCCTTAGGTGGTATTTCGGTCTCAGTTTTAAAAAAAGTTTCCTCCAAAATTAAAAACCTAAGATTTCATCACAACTATATAAAAAAGGAGCTTCTAGTTATCAGGGCACGAGAGCAAGGATCAAACACTGGTGCCAGAGAACATCAGGCCAGCCATCAGCCTCACAAGAGCACTTTGTGCTTAGGTAAACAGATTATTTGTTTTCAACTATTTAAATCATTCTTTATTTAAATACAAGGAAATGTAATAAATGCAAAATTTTCCAAACACATTTGCTAAAGTAATGCTCAATTGTTCACATCAAAGTTATAATCACATTCTTGCATCATCAATCATCATCACATTTTTTAAAAACAGAATTTTTAAAAAATCAATATTGCATTTTATTGGACAATAAAAACAAAAGATGAAGTTCATCTTATCTTGGCTTACAAAGCCAAGCAATCTTGGTTTTCTGTTAAATGCAAAGCAAATTCTTTTGTGCTGTAGTTGATCAGACAAGACAATAGATGTTTAACCTGAAACGCCAATATAAGGCCAACGTGTGTGCAACAAGCAAAATGATCAGGCAGGTTCCTCAGTAGATAGAAATGAAGCAAGTTACCAATAAGTCAGTCATGCTTCTCAAAGCAGGATACCTAGTCGTATTGTTCATTCACAATAAAGATCCTTTATGTCCAGGTCATTCTTCAAATTAATCTTTTGGAAAAAGATTATGGATCACTGGAGCACTACTGGCTTTTGAAAGCACGAGTTGCAGAATCATCCCACATCCTTTTGAGACTCAGTAAAATCTTGCAATATTATTCATGTTCTTGGATTGCAATCAAGTCTCTTTTGAGACATCAAAACATCTGCTGGTTAACAGGATGAATCTTCCTAATCTTTTTCACACATACTTAATAAGTCCTTTAGTAATATTGCACTGCAGCAGCATTTTAGTTGGGTTATTGCCCATCTACAACTTTGCAGCTATAGATGCTAATTTCCTGCAAATTCTGTCATTGTGATTGTTGGAATACAGCTAGAATTATCCAGGTATTCACTCAATATTGCCTTTACCGGATTTGGATATGCAGGGATTCCAGGATTTACAATAATTGAAGTTCGCATCAGCGTCTCCTCTGTTCTTCATTTCCATTCTTGTACTTCAGGCTTGCCAGTCCCAGCTTTCAGACAATCACATTAACTTTTGATAACTTCAGACTTCGTAGCCCTTGAAACTTCAATCCCAGTTGCAATGCATTCAGCAACTGGAGCAAGGTGCAGTGACCAGCTTACTACTGCCACCTTATATTATCTATCTGACAAAACCTGCATCCTCATTCAAACAGGGCAGCAGACACTGCCTGAATTAATCTTAAGAATACTGAACCAGTTTTCTGAGAATAAGGCAATTTTAAAGCATCCTTCTTAGATATTGTTGCTTTTCATTTTAGGTTACTGTAAATAGGGTTGCAGCCTTGCCCAACTGCTCTGAAGAAATCTCACCTCTAGAAATTAACCCGGCTTAGTTCCAAATAGCCTTAAATCTGCTGGTCTCCAATACTTCAAAACAACTGCTTCTTAAGTCATAAGACCAAGAGGTTAAAAGACCGTTGCCATGGTAGCCTTGAATGCGAATTCCGAATATACTTGGTCAATGTTAATGCAATAAATCTGAAATTTCTTCAGAGGTTCAGGGTTATCTGAGCTCTCACTCCTTCCTATCTAGAAAATACAGTAATAAACAAAGGTAAAATCTACCCCAAAATGTTATTTATCAACAGTTGAACCAATTACAATATATACTGAAGTTTAAACATATTAAATTATCCATTAGAGGGTGGTCCAACCTTTTGGATGCTGAGGGCTGGGTGCCCTGCGGGCCACATAAACAATATTTTTGTGTTTCCCTTCCAGAAACATAACGTTTATGGGTAATGGACGGATCGGGTGGGCCAGATGAAATGGATGGAAGCAGGGGGATGAAATCAGTTGGACCACTCTGCTTCGGAGTGGAGCATTAACAGAGTAGAATCAAAACTCAAGCAACTTTATCCTCAATATAGATATCAAGGTATTTTCACTAAAAACCATGCACTGGACAAAATATTGAAAAAGGTCTCTGACTTTGACCTTTACTCTATTGCATTAATTCAGTCTCAATCAATGTACCGGGAAGAACTCGGATGTGCAAAATTTAATTTGAAGGACAACAACAATTGGAAGAATAATTAATTATCTGGACTAAATTCAAAGGGGAAGGTGATTGGATTATGCAGCAATTTTTGACACCTGATGAACTGATTTCTCTGCCTTACAGATAGCAGCCAAGAAGGGGTGGAGATTCATGTTGTAACTAATAAAAGTTCTTTAAACAAGCCTACAAAAAAGGGGGCTATCCTCATCTGCAGCCAGATAACTGGAAAGGTAAGAGTGCAATATTTACTAGACTTCAGTTCAGTGTACAAGTTTTTGAGAATCTTTCCAGAGTAGAGATAGGGTCTCCAATTTGCAGCAGATTTTTCCAATTCGTTTTCTAAATTTCACCAAGTGGTGCCATTATGATTAAGAGACCTTATAAAATTCAGATGTTCATTGTTCTTCATTCCTTTCAGAAGATACAGTTGTCAACTATTTTACAGTTCTGAGAGAAACCCTCCCTTGTGGACAAGAATCCATTTTTAATAATAATAATCCTTGCATTTGATATAGCACTTTTCACATCTAGACGTAACAAAGTGCTTCACAGAATATACTGTAAAGTGAATTGACTGCATATTTGTAGGCGAAACACAGCAGCCAATTGTGCACAGCGGTGTCCCACAAACAATTGTGGATTGAAGTGACCAATTTATTATTGTTTTTTTTCTTGAGGGATTATCATTAGGCATGTGGAGTACGGAAACTTGCCCAGGGTTTTGCCCTACCGGGAATTGAACCCAGGTCTTTCGCTTGCCAGGTGAGTGCTCTGACTACTGAGCTACAGGCTTTTCCTGCCTATGAAATACCAATCAAAAATTATCACACAATTGGGGTGGGTGGGGGGGAAGATGAAATGAAAGAGAAGAGAGGGAGATAAATAGTTTGCATAATTGCTACCTGGGGATCAGAGAAATCTTCTATTGCTTCCCTGGACTTGGGTGTAGTGTTAGACAAAGAGCCTTTGTCAGAACGCTCAAGCAGCCATATGAAATATCAGTATAGATTTCCAATAGATCAGACATTGACCATAGCCCAAAAGAGAATCTTATTTAACACACATCCATGGGAGACATCTTTTGAACAGTGAGGGTACATAAGGCTATAAAGCTATGGTTTAGTTCCAATGACTGTCTCAGTCCCCTTCATGCATTACCAGTGACATATCATCCAATTGACAGGAGCAGGCACTTTGTAGCCAGAGGTCTAGAGCATCAAATACTCAATTTTTCCCACACAATAATTTTACATATAAAGTGTATGAGTAACACTGCTGGAGGCTGCGCTCTTCTCCCACCCACTCCCAACCTGCAGAGTACCTTGTGAAAATGCTTCGTAGCATAGGCAACCCTATGCTAAATAGACAAAGGTGAGTAAAGTCATGATGGCTGCACTTTGCTGGATACTCCAGAGTAGTTCATATACCACAAAGTGCATGGGTACAAACAATCATCCTTAGAAGACAGTTTATGGGAAGATACATGGGATGACTACACTGTCCTGCAACTTTTGAATATCAGTTTGCAGAGGCAGGTCATCCTGGATCTTCCTTGAATACAAATAAGACAATTCAGCAACAGGCAGCTTTGAGGCATCTGTTCTGGACATTGATTGAGAAGGCCTTTCTGCAGCTTTGAAGAACCTTAAAAGTAGGAACTGGCTGGTGACAAGCGAACCATCTAAAACTCTCATCAATTGTGATACATTTGTAAACTGAACAGAGGCATAATATTGCTATTATTGCTGATGAATGAATGCAGCACTCCACAGATGAATTACACAGTGTGGAATAGAAGAGTACTCATTTCTACTATCCCTAAAATTCTACAGCTGAGTGTGGAGGTAGGTGACCTGCCTCCAGGCCAACAATGCTACTCAGTAACAAGTTGCTTGCTTGGTGCATCAGAATAACCAGGGTATTTCAGCTGCAAATTATTAGTCCCTTCATCATTGTTGTATAAAACAACCAGCTTGCTTTAGAAAGCAGTGCAATGACAATGAACCCAATTCTCTAATAGTCAAGGAAGTTTAGACTTGCAGCCAAAAAAATACCTGTGCCAAATATGAGATTTAGCAAAGTACATAAATATGTTGGTAAAGCAATTCTCCCCATCTCCAGTGAGGACATAAGAGTATTTCAAGATCATATTTTATTAACAATATTTAATATTTAAATATTTAACTAAACACATCAATGACTGTAAATAATAACCTGGCATTATAAAAGTTATTTCTTCTGCAGGAGATCCAACTTCAGGGCTTGCAAGCTTGTGTCATCTAGCAACATCACGTCATACCAGAAGAATGCTTTTTGCACTTGTTCCAATTTTATCCCTGGTTCAAGAAAGCAGCAGTGTAGCTCAGCCTTCAGACATACTTTCAGAAGGCAGCTCTTTCACTAACCCACCTGAAGCCACTATTAAGTAGCCTGGACATGGATAGCGTGCAGAGCAATATTCATGATAGAAAAAAATCTATAATTCAAGGATAATCCCACCCTTCCAAGTGGAAGGTGAACTCAATAAGAGGTGGCAGTATTCAGAAGTAGGAAGTTTATAGAGAAGTTATACAAGATTGACCAAGAAATCTGAATGGTGGACGAGCAGCCTTTGCGCTTACCTGCAGTTGCTGCGATAATGTGTCTCTCTGTGCCTCAAGCTCCCTAGCTCCTTCAATATCCTTCTTCAGTCTCTCAATTTCCTAACATAAAAATAGGAACAGTATGTTAGTATAAGCACAGTCATCTTGCAAAAGTGAAAAATAACAATAAAATGTCATGCCACTGCACAAATATTAATCAATCTCTGAAAATTGAATTTTTCCTGTTCAGAACTACATTTCTCATTCCTCGCTACTAGGAAGAGTAAAATTCGAAAGCTAATGGGAAGAACAAACTTGGGATCAGTTTGGCAAAGAAACAAAAAAAATAAGATTAGTTTGGATGAAGACCATTTGATCCCATCCAAATCAACAAGTCTACATTCTTACATTTGAAACAGCTTATTTAATACACAAAGATACATAGAGAAGTTTGGACAAATTATTGGGAACCACAATTGTATGCAGTGAAGTTTTTGCAGTTTTCTGTTCAAAGTATTTTTTCATTAGTCTTTAGATCAATTAATCAACACGTAACAGATATTGGTTTACAGTAATAGTTTTCTGGGGTCAGGAGGCTTCAAGATCAATTCCCAGGATGGTTTCAATTAAAGTACTATAATTAACACATTCTGAGCTCCAATGTGGATCGATTAAAGTAACTGGTCACTAGGACCAGCGAGGAACACCAAACGTATTCAGTTTTTGATAATGCTGGAAATGACGAGATCCATGTCAAATCGTTGTAATGATATCAGCTAGCAGAACAAGTAATTTGAACACATTGCTCTCTTAAACTTTTTCCTCTCACACAAATCAGTTGGAAGCCATTCTTTGTATACAGCATAACAAAAGAACTTTCGACAACAAATTAAAGGTATCAGACTAAAAGGATTCACAGCTTTTAATGGAATATGAAAATCAATTAATATGAAATCTGTTTACATGGTTTATACAAAAACTTCACACATGTTGCTTACTTTGTACTAGGGTGGGTTATTATTGTATTCCAAAAAGTCAATCTGAGTTAATAAGCCTTTGCTGAATTGCACACAGTGGAAAGCCAGTACTCTATTGTCAATTACCAAACTTAAGTTTTCCAGAATTTATGGGTATGAGAAAAGCACAAGTGAGAGAGTTTGGATTAGGGTTAAAGCACCTGAAACATGGACGAGATACAAGGCAACTTATACACACGCAAAATGTTTTTCAACATGAATATAGAAGTTTGGAGAAAGTAATATTTTGTCCTTACCTCCTCTTTGTCTCTCATTTGCGTCTCAAGTTCTTCTATTGTTCGGTTCAATTCAGTCTTGTGCGTCTTAAGCACATTTGCCTGGCCGCTCAGGCACTCCAGTTCAGAAACCTGAATGTTTCGAAAATCAAAATTTAGCAGAGCACACTTTTTCTAAATAAAAGTACATCCTGAAGAAAACTATAATTTTGCAAACAAAGTACATTGCCCCCAAACTCCAATAAATCCCCATTTGAAGTCACAAAATTAAAAATAACTTGGAAAACTGACGGTGACTTTAATATCTTTACTGCATTACTATACAACAAATGGTTACCTAGTGGGTTTGAGATCTACTGTAGTACCATGACCAATATACCATAGAGTAAAAAAGATAAATTTTCCCACACTGGCAGGGAAGCTGGCACAGGAAGGCTCTGCACAAGTCACCACAAGCTACTCTTGCAGGTCTACTAAGCTCGTTAAAGTGGTAACTTGTATTGCTACAGGTCTACCCATAATAATAATAAGAGCAGCATTTAATGCAACACCTCACTAAGTCATTCAGATATCTCAAAGTGCTTCACCGAATATATTTTTCAGTGGATTGACTGTGCATTTTGTGGAGGAAATACAGCAGCCAATTGATACAGTCACAAACAGTCTTGGAATAAATGACCAAAATTTTTTTTTCTTGTGGTGGGAGAAGAGAATTATTACCCTCTGAAAGCGATCTGCCAATCAACTAACAACCAGGTTCCTAGTTACTACTAGGTAGAGAGGCGTGTGGAGTAAGAAAATTTGCCCAAGTTTCACCCTAGCTGAGAATCAAACCTGGTCCTTGCAAGGCCAGCAAGCTAACTAACTACAATGGTACCCATCATCCAAGATGATCAGCATGTGGTTTAAAATAAATGTTCCTACATATAAGACATTGTTGTGCTGTTTGCCACCATCCAACATATTGGGAAAAAATAAATAGGCATTTTCTCTTCATTTAACATTTATACAGCCACTGATCATTCAAACCAGACTTTACTCTAATTCAATTAAGATACTCTGCCTGCACCACCTTACTTATATTAACTCATGTAGGAGCCCTAGTTGTAGGAAGAATAGTTCTGCAAAAATTGTGAAGATGGAACAAAGAATTAATGAGTGTCATTTGAGGGCTCCAAATGGCTGATCTCCACCATACAAGACTCGCATATGTATGTCAGAAGGTACTGAAAACTCTACAAGCCATGTCCATGGCCACCCGCTTGATCTGGTGATTACCCGGAACCTCAGCATCTCGGACTTCACCGACACTGATAAAGCCATCACAGACCACTACTTCATCTCTCTCAACTCCTCAATCAATCCACTGCCACCCAACCCACCTCCATCTCCTACTGCCCCAAGAAAAAAAATCTCCTTCCACTCCCTCTCCACTGCACTGGAGTCATCTGAACTCTTCACCCTCTGTGCTTCCTCTCGCAATGACTTATCCTCCTCAGTCACCTCCACAACTCCCTTTTCCTCAATGCCCTTGTGGCCCTCACCTGCCAAAGTACCTCCTACTCATGCAAGTCATCCTGGTACACCAGCCATCTCTGTTCCTCCACTACCTTAACCCTCAGGCCAACAAAACCCTCATCCATCCATACATCACATCTAGGCTCGGCTACTCCAACTACCTGCTTGTCGGCCTTCCCAACTCTTCCCTAAACAGGTTGCGGATCATCCAGAACTATGCAGCTCATGTCATCTCCCTCACCAGACTCTGTGACCCTATCACCCCCACCCTTGCCCAGTTCTATATCCCCCAGAGGATAGAATTAAAAATTCTCGTCCTCATCTTCAAGGCCCTTCACGGCCTTGCTGCTTCCTACCTCTGTGACCAGCTAACCCCAAATCAACCTGTCCGTTCCCTCCGCTCAGCAGGCTGTGGCCTGCTCCACATCCCCCGCCCAGCCTGCCCTGTTATCAGCAATCAGGCCTTCAGCCTCTCTGCCTCCACCCTTTGGAACTACATCCCACATTCCCTTCACCCACTCCCTCCCTTGTCTCCTTCAAGGCATGTCTCAAGACCCTCCTCTTCGACCGCACCTTCGGCCACCCTTCTACCATCCCTGCCCACCACCCTCCATGATTCCCCCCCCCCCCCGGGTCCAAATTCCTGACTGCCCAACGCTTTGGGACATCCTCCCAATGTGAATGGCACTTTATAAATGTAATTTTGTATTGTATTAATGTTTCCAATCACTTATACTGCATTATGTGCAATCACGATACACGATTCTGGCAAGCGGAGAAAGACTATCCATCTAAAGCCACTCTCAATCTATTGGGTATTTTAGTAACCATTCCTAGGATAACTCTGATGAATCTCCTTAATCCTCAATTAATATCTGCATGTTAAATCACTGATCAACAGAAAAAGTTCTCTTTGGTCTACCCAATCAAAATCATTCATAATTTTCAAAATCTCTTTCAGATTCCTCCTTGACTCCATAAAAAGTCACAACTTTCAACTTTTTTCTCCACATATCTATAAGCTTTTTGCCTTCGTATCATCCTAGTAAAGCTGTTGTACATTCACGATGACCGATAGCCTCTCTTAATTGGACAGAAGGCTCCAGCTGCAGCCTAACCAATACATTTTACAAATATAACATTACAACTTAAACCTAAGATTCAATGCTATTCCTGTTCAGTGCTTTGAGATGCCCTCCCAAAGTGAAAAGCACTAAATCAAAAGCAATGATTTTTTTTTTTTTAAAAAGATATACAGGACGACCCCAATTTAATACAGCGCTCTGCATCCACACAAAAAAAAAACCATGTTGACTCCTCAATACTTCTGGATCGTCAGGTCACTACCAATGTCAATTCTGGTTTTCAGCATATATTTATCAGTTTCCTGCATGCACTTGCACAAAACCAGCCAATTCAATAAAGAAGCATTCTGCATTTTGGTAACACAAATTCACATATATAAAAGATGCAAAATCATAGCACAGAAGGAGGCCATTCGGCTCATCGTGTCTGTGCCGACCCTTTGAAAACATTCTTTGAAAAATATATAAAAGATTTTTTTTATTAAAAAGGCATTTGGGTTCATTTATCTTCCCCACCATCACCACTCTTTTGGCTCAGAGTGGTGTCTAGCTGTCAGTCCTATAACTAACTGAGTTACAACATCTTTTACAGAGATTAATCAAAACATTTTTTGGTAAATGACAGTTTCTTGGGCTCTGCTTGCACTTGCAATTAATTAAAATTTAGGATATAAAAAAAGTTTATTGTCCATTTGACATACTAGGTCAAATTGCATGCTTATTACCAGTCCAATCACTTACAAGTCTAATTTTGATACAGAATCGAAAACAGGTCCATATTTGTTAAACTCAATCTACTTTTGAAAAAAATAGATTTCAGACTTTTTTTTTGGCTAGTGCTATACTTTATAAAAGTCATACCAGGTCAATTCAGAGCCTAGACAGTTTTTTTAAAAAATCATATGTAGTTTTAGCCGCCAAAATGTTTCAGCCAAATCAAGCAAAAACATCTCCAGCTAAGGAAGAGAACATTGGAGAGTAAGCAAGACCACTATATGTCAAAAAAGAGTCGGAAGTTGGTTAAATCTAAAATTTAAGATTGGTTTGGATGAAGAAGGTCCTTCTTTGGCTCATTTGATCTAATTTTTCCATAAAACCCGTTCAACTGTTCCCATCACAGCAACATTTTGTTTTAAAAAATGAGTTTAGGGTCCTGACCTCAACTACCCTTCCTAGAAATCTGTTCCAGTTGTTAATTCCTCTCTTACCAATTGCTTTGTAAGAATTTGGCTGTTTATTCAGATTCCAGTTTCCCCCACTTGGTGTAAATCTGCAAATTGAATTAACTTATTCTGGCTCTTCCAATCAAGAACATTTTTCACCCACATACAAAAAGAGTCACAGTACAGACCTCTAAGATGCACTGCTTAATACCGTCCTCCATTTCGACCTAGCTCCCCTAACGACACTTTGCTTCTTCCTTTCAGCAAATTCCAATTTGGTGTCCATGCCTTGCCCTTGATACCCAGTTACTTCAGTTTGTTAGGGGCTCTTTCACATAGTACTTTATCAAAATGCCTTTTAGACATCTAGATATGCTATATCATATGGTGTCCCACAGTCAACTTGGTCTGTCATGCAAGATTGGTAGAGAAAAAATATTTCCAATCCTATTTGGAGTCAGAGCAGAAGTGTTAAAAATGTTCACTCTTACTTGCCTATGGGTTTGTGGTCACATTAAAATGGTAAGACCTTATTTTATTAGGAGTTTATTAGGAAACTTATGTAATATAAAAACTTGATTTTTATAGTGATTCTTCATTGCAGGGATTGAACCACTTTCATAACAGCCCAATCACCTGCAGGTAACTGAGCACCAGGCTTCTGTGATTCTCCCTCAGAATATACATTGGGAACTAAACTGGAGATCAAATCCTCCACCATTTTTCCCTCTCTTTTGGTGGGAGGGACCCAACACCTTCTGAACATCTCTTCACAGTTCTACTATAATGTTGGCAAGACATAGGGAGCCTATGGCATTTACCATAGCTGTGACAGTACATTACAACTCCACACTGAACCACCATCCCATGTCCTGCATTAATATCATTATTATTATTATTTGCATTTGATATAGCGCCTTATCATGTTATCTCAAAGCGCTTCACAGAACATCCTGTAAAGTGAATGGACTATTTTGTGGGTGAAACATATTGGTACAAAACAGAATCCCAGGGATCATTTTTGCCTCTGCAGCATTGCCAAAAAGTCTGATTAGTTGGTCATAACCATGTTGCGATTTGTGCTGCTTAAGATTATAGCACTTAATGCAGAGAATTGCATGACCATTTTAAATAAGAATTTATCACGGGCTTAGTCATGGACTAATTTTCCAGTGGTGTAAAATTGCCTTATATTTTAAACTGAAACATGTACGATTAAGGAAATGGAGATTTATCTTCCACATTAAATATTGCAGCTCTGCAGGTCACTTTAATGCTACAATACAGCAATTTCAATACTATTTAACTTTGTGCATGGACAGGTTTTTGAAGTTGGTGTATTTTATACAGTCACATGACACATTACCCTATAGCGTAAATTCAAACAATGCTGCAGCTATAACACTGCAGTAATCAACTCCCAACTAGGTCAGTTTAAAATCCATGTTGGGCATATGGAATGAATGTTTTCCTCAGGGAGGAGCCAGTTTTGGTTAGGCCACTTTCAAAACAAAAATACCTCCAAGGGATTCCAAGAGAACTGCAGTTTTGGGATTATGAAGGCAGCAAGTGCCACTGATTTCTTTGCTAAGGTTCAGAAACATCAGAAAACTTTAAACTTGGGAAGAGCATGGCTATTTAATTAAAACACAAATAACAATGGTTACAGCCTCACACCACTTCACATAAACTGCACAACCAGACATCCTGCAAACTTATAACTAGACTGAGATCTGTACTCAAGATCCTTTAAAAATAAATTAATTTAAATCATCCCAGTTAGACTTAGTTTGTAAGTAAGGATTTATTCGACTATGAATAGTCACCCACACTTTGGGAAATATCCTCCAGAGAGTCACACTTACCCTTTTATGCAGCCGTTCTGCCTCTTCCTGATAAGCAGAGAGTTGTTGTTTCCATTGTTTAACATTGGCAGTAGATTCCAGAAGTGCTGTTGTTAGCTTCGCATTGTTGTTTTTTAAGGTTGCCAATTCAGACTCCCAGTGTTTCCCTATTGTAGTGCTATATAAAATAACCAAACAGTTACTATTAAGTATGGTTATGGGATTTTTAAAAATGATTTTAATGAATTACTAAAAATTATAATGACTGCACATTTGACATTAGCAAAATTAGTTACGTTAGCATGGATCAAAACATTTGAGGCAAAAGCTTTAACTTAATCTTTAAAAATAAATTAACTTAAATCATCTCAGTTTGACTTTATGTGCAAGGATTGATTAGACTGAACAGTCACACATACTTGACACTAGTCTCTCCCCTCCTGTCCCAATCTTTCTCCTGAAAGTGGCAATTTACAGTTCTATGAACACCCCCTCTGGATCCTCAGCCATGTATGAACCTAGACTGGCAACCATTTACCATGGAAGAATCAAATCGTATCCAAATCCTGCCTTCACCAAATGTCCACACACATTCAGCTGAGTTAGCTAAACAGTAGTAACCTTCCCCGATTCCTTTTCCCTCCCGTCTCTCTATCACAAGTCCAGGGATACAAATACCATTTGTAGACTGCTTTCTTGGCTGAGATCATACGACTCAGATTGAGAATCACATGCAACATTCCTGATGTGCATGTGGGTCAATACAATAGCTGACAGTGCGTCTGCTAAGCAAAGCATGAACAAGGTTTGGTTATAGTCTGACAGTTCAGATTTTCCTAGACAACATTTAGAATAATCTTTCTTTACCAAGGAACAAGGTTAATAATAATCCTTGCACTTAACATTGCAAAACACTTCAGGCAACTGCTGTCAAGTGTTGTGAATGAGTATTTAATGTATACAAGAATATACTATTATTATAATACAGCAGCAGGAATTTAATCTTTTTAATCTCATTCTTCCAACATTTCCCAAATTCTTGTTACAGACAAACATCTTAAATCTGAAACCATGGGTTTCCAGGATTATTCCACATTATGGTACCACTGTGATTGAAAAAATACTTTCAGCCAGTTCCACCCCTGTGTTCTGGAACACTACCAAATACATGTCAAAATTCCTGTAAAACCAATTTCAATATAACATTTCCTTCTGAAGGTCAATGGCAATTATGAGGATGGCATGCCAACATTGAATAAGAGTGGGAATAGCAATTTGAGCACACCTCTGCTCAGCTTCCAATACAAGGCACAATGAATGTGATGCTGGCAAATACCAGAAGGTGAGGAGACAAATCATGCCATGCAGTCTCAGTTGTCTCCTGGGAGACAACTATAGGAAGTATTGGCAGTGGCCTGTAAGCAGATGGTGAATGTACACATTCTCTCAGCTGCTGAAGTCAAGCACTCTATAATGAGGAACAATACAAAATGTGAAACTTATATAAAGAGCCACATAATATTGAAAGTCAGCATCTAGGATTGAGGTGGCTTGATTACGGCACATCTTATTTGCACTGAATTCTAAATATATTTGGATCCTGGACAAAAGAGTGGTTTCAGAAACATTCAGACATTTTAAATCAGGGATGGTATAGTGGATAGAGCTGGAGTGTATTGACCAGGAGCTTGCTGGTTCGGATCCCATGTTTTGTTTGCTGGTTTTAGTTGCAACTGCATGGAAGGCTAAATTAAGTCTCTGCCTTCTCAGGATTAGGGAAGGGGAAAAAAAAAGCTAGGGTTCCTGTTCCTCAACAGCACCCTCAGCTAGTGCACACAGTACAGCCAAATAGGGAGAGGTCAATCTCAGCTATCATGGATTCAACAGTAAAGTGGCCTACTGATACTTACTGTTAAGTCTTATATGAACAATATCCCTTGGACAAGGTACCAGAAGGCAACCAGTGCCTTTGGAACTGCAAAACAGCATGAGGCCACACTAGAGGCAAAGATGCACGTCAATGGCAGAAAAAAATTATAAACTAAGTTTTTTGGAAAAAAAGTTTTTATCAAATCTGCCTAGAAGTGCATAAATTAAATAAATCTATTGATTAAAAAAAGTAAAAGATGAATTTTCACCAGATAGTTAATATTAAACTAAATGTATTTACTTAAAATGATGCAGCATGGAACAAGGCCATTTGGCCTGACTAATCCGTGCTGGTGTTTAAAACACCAGTCAGGATGTTCAAATCTACAGTTTGTTAATGGGGAAAATATTAACATAAACCCAAAGAGAAATGTACCCCCAGGATTCCATAATTTCAATATTGTAGACAGTCAGATTTGAACATTTTCCAAACACCCACCACAATTTTTTACGAGAGAAATGCAAAAATAAAGCAGCCATGATCATAGAATCAAAAGCAATTAAGGTTTCCTAAGCTACTTCAAAACATGTTCTGCATTTCCCAAGCTTCACATTTGTGCAGAATATTAACTATTGTAATGGTATACCTTAAAGCCTTTCTAGCCATGTTTCCATTGGTGTGTCCCTTATTTACGGATTATCCTAAGAAAGTTGACTCTATTTTACAGAGCCTGTGCAGAACTATGACATCTTATTCGACCTTTTTCTACAGCAGATCAAACTCGAAATTCATGGAAATCCCTTCATGGCTTCATGCCACCAAAGCTCCGTGACCTCCTCTGACCGTGCTGCTCCTTCCGCTCAGCAAACACTGTCCTGCTTCATGACCTGCCTTAAGACAGCTGTGTGAAAGCTCTTTAAGACACGAAGGGCATTATACAAATGTAAATTGTTGTTTGAACTCTCTCGAATTTGCAGAAACCCAGAAAGTATCAGGCCGGTGGAGACTAGTTGGATGATGGAATTCTTTGTTGAAAAAAAATTGGTACAAAATTCAAGATTATTAAGAGGAAATTGGGAAGATATTCAAAAAAGAGGAATGAAGATCTCACTGGTGAGTGAAAATAGTGACTTGTGCAGAAAAGCACCTGACTTGATTGGCTGGTTTCTATGTTGGAATATTTAATAATCCTTGCATTTGATATTGTGTCTTATGTCTTTGAGATGTTTCAAAGTACTTCACAGAATATACTGTAAAGTGAATGGACTGTATATTTTGTAGGTGAAACAGAGCAGCCAATTGCACACAGCAGTGTCCTACAAGCAGTCGTGGATTGAGTGACCAAATTATTATTATTATTGAGTAACCAAATTATTATTGTGACCAAATTATTATTGAGACCAAATTATATTTTATGAAAACCCATAATTTTTGTAACTTTAATTCCATGTGCACTATGTCATATTGGTACCATAAGCTTCTTGAATCATGACACCATTTTGCCTGGGAAGCTTAAGAGCCTTAATCTTGTGAGCTGAGCAGGATTCTATTTGAGGGCTCCCAAGTGTAGATTGACCTTTAATTTCCCAGATTAACCTGCTGCTATAGGTGGCCAGTCCCAATCATGAGCAAAGCTGTTATTTCTTCATTGTCTGGAATGGAGCCACCTCTGCATTTAGCATTGGTGCAGATTATATGTGCGCTCAAGGAAGAGAGCCTAACTTGTAGCTAATACTGGAGCTATTGACAAAACCATAAATGGTTTGAAATGCTGCAGAACAACACACTAGACAACAGACGTTTAGAAGCACATATTCTTTTTCCCCTTCTTCTGAATGGACCATTTTATTATTCCAGTGTTGTAATCGTTATCCCATTGTAATAGAAGTAATGTAGTGACTATTTAAAAAAAAGTTGCGGTCGAATCTTTTAATTTTACAAAGGGAAATTTTAACTAAACCAAACTATCGTCTGGAAACAAAATACAATTGGTTTATGAAGATTGGTCTGTGTAAAAAAAACATTGTTTATTAGTTCCTTCTGGAAAGTGATGTGGATGGTATAGATGTAATGTAATTGCTTTGCAATTAATCTCATATTTTAGACGTTAAATATGATCCGACAAATCCAAATAAATCCTGTTTAAAATGTTACCCTGTGTGTGGTTGAAATTCACTAAAATCCCAGTTAGCTGGACTAATAAGGAGGGGGAGAGAGAGAAAGAATCCAGTCCAGCGAGGTAGATTTCTGGTTAAATCTAATTACAAGAGATTAGCAATTTACTGGAATTTCTCGGCACCAGATTANTCAGTGCCAAAAAATGCCAGTACTGGCATTGCAATTGTTTGAATCGCTGAATAAGCTATCTTCTGTTCACGGAATTCAAATTGAGTCAAAGTCTATCCACTGAAGGGCATCAAGGAGATGCGGGGGGTGGGGGGGGAGGAAGTTGGGGTGAGAAGGAGAAAGAGGTTGAACAAGATGTCAAGGTTCTGCACAGGTTCCGTAAAGTAGAGCAAACTTTCTTACGGTAATCAGCTGCATGATGGGCACACCAATGAAAACATGGTTAGAAAAGCTTTAAGGACAATTATTGTATACAACTACAAAGGTTAATTGTGTCCTTTATGCATTATTTTGCTACATATCTCACTAATAAAATCTATGGATTATGTCCAGATTGTTCATTATTTAACAAGGACTATTAATACATTTTGTTAAAAGTAGCTACCTTAGAATATTTAAGCTAATGTTGTAATTTTCCCATCTTCACTTAGTTAAATTCTTCACCTACCATATGATGACACAAATCATTCATTATTTTTATGCTCAAATAAATGAATGATTAAAGCCACTGAACAGAAAAAAACTGCAGCATGAATTCCACAATAAAGCAATAGCAAACATGATTAACAACAAGCATCAAGGATCCATAGTGATTTAGACTTACCACAGTCAACCTAAGGAATACTATAATATGACTATGAATAAAATACCCAGAGATCAACAAAACTTCAATTGCATGTCCTTACCTATGAGTAAATGGGAGTGAACTCTGGTTAATTTCGGCTCGTGCATCAGAGTCCTGAGCCACATCTTGAAGGGATCTTTCATCATCCGTACCATTAATACTCTCAGGTGTCAGAGGTGATTGCAGATCACCTCCTCCAGACTCCTGCAATGGACAAATAGATAGGCAATTCAAAACATCATTTCAAAATACAGGTGGGAATAGTATGATGCAATGTTCTAGGTCATCAGGTCACTGTTGACATCACTTCCTGCATGTTGTACATTGTGTGCAAGCAGCATTGCTGACATGACTGACGCTTCCCGTGTGTAGCACGCTGGGCACAATGTGCAGCAAGCAATGGCAGTGGCTACCCAGAAGTTGGCCATTCAGTAGCACCGAAAAGCAGCTAGTCAGCACAGGAAGCTGGGTTGTACTATGTTTTTGGTTGGTGAAGGTCCACAGGACCACTGCAATAAGCAAGGAACACTATAACATAACATGTAGGAGCAGGAGTAGGCCATTCGGCCCTTCGAGCCTGCCCCACCATTCAATCATGGCTGATCTTAATCTAACTCCAGCTAATAACCTGACCCTGCCTTATCCCCATATCCCTTAATCCCTTTTGCAATAAGAAATCTATCTATCTCAGTCTTGAATATGTTCAAGGACTGAACGTCAACAGCCCTTTGCGGTAGTGAGTTCCATACATTCACCACCCTTTGAGTGAAGAAGTTCTTCCTCAACTCAGTGCGAAAGGGCTGGCCTCTGATTTTAAGGTTGTGACCCCTGGTTTTAGTTTCTCCAACCAGGGGAAACAATCTCTCACTATCTACTCTATCATGCCCTCTGATGATCTTATAGGTTTCTATAAGATCCCCTCTAATTCTTCTATATTCTAGAGAACATAAACCCAAATTGGTCAGCCTATCCTCGTAACTCATCCCCTTCATCCTTGGTACTAACCTAGTAAATCTACGCTGCAACCCCTCCAAGGCAAGTACATCCTTCCTTAAATAAGGAGACCAAAACTGCACACAGTATTGGTCTCACCAGGGCACTACACAGTTGCAGCAAGACTTCCCTACTCTTATACTCTAATCCTTTCATAATGAATGCTAACATACCGTTCGCCTTCCTAATTGCTGCTGCCCCTGCAGACTAACTTTCTGTGATTGGTGTACAAGGACACCCAAGTCCCTCTGGACGCTAACACATTCCAATCTCTCCCCTTCTAAAAAAATAACCTGCTCTACTGTTTTTGCTACCTAGGTGGATGACTTCGCACTTCGCTACATTATACTTCATCTGCCACCTACCTGCCCAATCACCTAATCTATCTATGTCTCGCTGCATTTTTTTAATGTCATCCTCTGTGTTGACACTTCCTCCTAGTTTTGTGTCATCCACAAATTTAGATATATTAACTTTGATGTCCTCATCTAGATCATCCTCATCTATATACCTTAATATTTTCAATAAAGTCCTACTCTACAAGGATGGCCTTTGAGATAATGAGGTAACATTGATCTTTTATGTCAACTGTATCTGGAATCCAAGTCTGGATTGTGAAGTGGTTTCACCAATCATTATCTAACCTCTTCCGTTGCCATTACAGGACAGCAGTGTGGAATATTGCCAATTCCCAACAGCCAGGATCACAATTTGGACCACTTGTGCACCTGTAGCCAGCTGGTTACAGAGGGCAGAGGCAAGGAAGCAGATCTCGGTCTTCAACGGGACAATGAACAGATGAAAAAAAGCTGTCCCACAAATTTACATGATAGAAGTCCAACTATAAGTTAATACCCTCAGAAATTTACAATACTGACATTCAAACTCTGGTATTTGAATAGGGCAAATTATGCATAGGAAGTCTATGTTAGCCAATTATGCTTTATTTATACTCACTGGGACAAAATACGCAATGCTACCAAATTCCTCAGGAATGAAATAAATTCTCAGCCAAGGTCTGAACATGAAGATATAAAAATATGCTCAACACACAAATACCAAAGTATCCCAATAATCAACTTATGATATTTTCACTCTGTGCCTTTCTCCTCATCAATCACATGCATTTTTGTGTAGTTCATATGCATGTAGGAGATCCTCCCAAACTGTTCAGAGTTTAATCTCTGGGAAAATACTGAATGCACGAGAGCAATTAGTGAGATGTATATGATGGATAGTTGAGTTATTCTGTGGCTTTAGAGTAAATTGGTTTTGTAACAACAGATTTGTTTTAACAACAGCAGATGTCAGGCTGCCCAGAATCAATCCCACAGCCCAGGCCGCCCCAGAATCATACATAATTGAGCAATATTCACACTGCACGATTGACATGTGTGATTATTATAAATTTGCATTTTATTTCTGGGAATACTTTGGCCATTGTGCTGTTTGTTTTTAAAAATTCAAATAATGAATGTCCAGGGAATAAGTTATACAATTTGTACACTGAATGTCAGAGCTTTCAAGCATTGTGGATTAGTTTCCAGGTTATTAATTGCCAGGTTGCTAGGCTGGACTCAAAACATAAGGATTTTGTTCAATTGTTAAAACTATATACAGAATGAATCAACATGCTTTTCTTTCCATCACACATGGTTAGTCAGAAGCACATGTAGGCCAGATGAGGCTCTTTAAGACCCAGCTTTTTGACCTACTGGGAGTCTGACAAAAAGCTCTCAAGAGTTTGACAAAATCGCTCTGCATGGATTGCCTTTACAATCCCTCTCAACAGTATGCCTTAGATTAAGACATTTAAGAAAATAGACAAAACTAAATCTTCCTGCTCTATAACTAGAATTAATCTTGAACATTAAACATTAACAGCACTAATTCCAGAATTTAAATCTATACCATGTAATAATCCCATTTGTCTGCTATCATAGTGTTTTACTGATATTTACCTGGGAAGGTGTACTGGTTAATTCCATTTTTTCCTGCATTTTTTCTTTTGCTATCCTTGCAGCATCTTTAAATTCTTGGAACTTTTCAGCAAACTATTGAGAAACACACTACAGTGAATGTTTGCATTTCAAAATAATTGTAGCTTAAAGACAAAAAACATACAACTCCCACCTTAAACTACTCAAGAGTTTATTCACAAGACACACATTCCTCACTCCAAAATACAAGGTGCTTTGGAGTTTCACATACTGATAATGCTCTAACTGATATTCAACCGTTATGTACCTGAGACCTGAATGCAAGCATCAGTCATAAACACGATCTAGTAGCCCCTAAAGCAAAACCATTATGTAAGTTAAGATGTCAATGGTTTAGTGCCCTACTTCTCCACCATCTATCAGAAAAAGAAAGCTTACTCCTTAGCTTTTGCTAACCCCACTTTGATCAGTTACTTGTTGACACTGTTGGGATCAGAATTTAATTATTCTTTTTAGATAAATTAGATAGAATAGGGATTATTGTATTAGATAAATTAGGTATGCTTCTTTTGGTCAGAAGTGAATTACTGTGTTAGGTGTGTTTATGTCAAACTGATTTATAGAAGTACAATCTTGATTGTGAATGTTTTAATATTGATTGTTAGCCATGTCAAGATGATTTGCAGAAAATATGGTTAATTGCATTGAGCTGAGTTGCAGAATATCCACCTAAGCGTGGCAAGTGTTACAGTGTGGCTGTAATCACTTGATGTCTGTATGTTATGCCTTGAAGAGTCAAATTGGTTAAGAAAGAAATTAACTGGTTATCACAGCTGTAGTTTGTCTTGTTAACTGTTGCTGTAAGGTCCTGCATAAGAGCCAGCCTAAGGATGCCTAGGGCTGGCCCCAGCCTGATTAAACGATTATCAGATGGGTGTAGAAGTGTGGACCTGCACGGATCATGATGTTAAAACAGGAACCATGATAAAAAGGAGGATTTTAGTTGCATTCTCATTAGATATCATTTGGTCCTATTAAGTATGAATGGGGTTTGAAGACATCAGAAATGCACACTGGAGATAAACAAGTTAGCTCACTCAGATAAAATAGACCTCCTGTACATGATGCATTTACCATAGAAAATTGCATTGAGTCACTCGCTGGGGGATAATAGGTACAATTTTAAACAGTTCAAGTAATGGATGAACTTGATTTTAAAATTCTTAGCATTTCTCCTGAAGTACAATATGTAACACAGGTACTGCAACACCAAACAGGTTGCACTCACTCACTTTAGTTAGGTGATGTTCAGAAGAAAACCCCAAGCCATAGACTGTATTTGCACGGCTGTCTGGCCATTGCCCAAACTTCTGTGATGTTTTTGTGAACGTCATGTTTGGAGTAATTGTGCTGTTGATTATTGCCTGAAAACAAAACACCATCATGAATATCTGAAACATTTCTTTGACAGATTTCTGGTAGTTTAATTTAACTTAAATACATTAAAACCTCATTTCCAAATTTACTTCACATTAGGATTCTTTTCACTCAAGTTGAATATTTCTGCTGAAGTGGTAATTTCTGGGGCTGGCAAACTGAATCATACACAACCTTTGGCACCCAGTGCCAATAGCAGACACTACCAGGTTAGATGCAGCACACATTAAAATCGAAAAAGTTCTCTTCTCAAAAGATCAAACGTTGCTAACTGGCAAGACCTCAGATCCAACTGAGATTGCTTTGAAGTTGAGGTCTCATAACATACATTGTACACAAGGCAACAGAAATGCTACAACTGTTAAAAGTACCACTTTTCCAAACTCAATTGGGATGAAATTCTGGTCAGATGTACACATAGTAGTATTAATGCTGTCAGCCACGAGAGTTATTTCACCATTAAAATCATGTATTGCCAAAAGTGCTGGATGCAATGCTGACTGAAATTTAATGTCCAAATGTCTCTTAACACAACTTAATTCCAATCTCATAACTGTAGATCTTCAACAGCGATGTAAATCATCATTTCCTATCCAAGTCTCCTTTTGGCTTTCAATATACTCAGGTTCTACTTCTGGCATACTCATGGATGTGCTGCATTTGACTATTATTATGCATTCACACAGGAAACACATAGCAAACCAGTGCAATGAAACACCAATATGGCAGATAATTACTGTTATAATGAAACTATTTTGGGGAAATGGCATCCATCATTTAGTATAAGAAGAGCAGTGAAGTATAGCTAATCCCATCTAACTATAGCATCTTGGGGCATCCTCCCGAGGTGAAAGGCGCTATCCAATTGTAATTTTGTATTGTATCTAAATCTTCAATTTGTGCACTAAATGATTAAAGCTTCAATTTGACAGTTTGGCAACACTTTAAACAAAATGTTCTATTGCATTATATAAGATGGTAATACAATGGTCTAGAATTCTCAACATTCACCTCAGCTGTAAAGAGACCTCCTTTACCCCTTTCATCCTTGGACTTAGATGGCAAAATATGAGTGGACCTGGTTACAACACAATTAGCAAATATGAGATAAGGGGCACATATTGATGCAGTGGCCACTTTGGTGAAGGGGGAAAAAGGGAAAGAACAGGAACCCGAGGAACAAACACCAATAAAAATTGCAATATTTAAATAGTTATTCCAAACATTTGAGATTTGAATTATAGGTTCAACTTGTTAGGAGCCTGAAATATTTAATAGATTTATTTAAAAACACTGAATTATCAAGAATCTGATCATTTCAGGAAGATTTGACTATTACTGGAATTCCTTGCAGCTTTCTTCAGTGAATCAGTATCACTCAACTGATTGATCTAAAACTCAGGCAAAGAACCAAATCTCACTCTAAAAATTGTATACAAACAGGGACTTAACAGAAATTAAAATTCAGACATTTTAAATTGCTAACACTAGTCTAAAGTATCTATTTTATATAACACCAACATTACATTTGTATAGCGCCTTATATGGCAAGACATAAATTAATTTGTTAAAATGCCTTTGGTGACTGTCATTGTAAGTGCATGTTATGCAAATTGTGTAAAAAAAAACATGTTGAGTTGCATAAAATCCTGTAAGATTGGAAATTGTTGCGAGATTCACATTAATATAAAACATACAATACCGCCTAGTAGGATAAAACACTCATGGTAGGCAATTGCAACGCCCCATGCGGGTGAAAGAAAAAGCTGGCCTTAAAATTTAAAATCTCTCTTCCATATGCCCCATCTGAATACTCTACAATATCTGTACTGCAATGTAATAAAGTGTTCCATGTTAATCCATCTTCAATCCATATAAAGATATTAAAACAGTCTATGGAGATCAACGTTTAAATGCAATAGGGATCAGTCAACAATTCCTTTCCGCAGACCCAATGACCATTACTACTCCTTTCCCTCCTTTGTTCTCTCCCCTTACCAAACCACAAGATCAATTTGTATGAAGAAGGTCCTTTATCCCATCTAATCTCATCCCTTGAGAACTACCCACCTACATCCTCCCCTCACAGTATGGAACCATCTCTTGAATGAGTCCAGTGTTGGCCTCAACAACAAATTAAAATCGCACATTTCACGTTGGGAGGACAACCACCCATCCTGGCAACCTGTCCCAGTCATTAATTACCCTCTGGTTAAAGAAAAATTCCTGGTATGGTCCTGAAATTGTCCTTTGCAACTATAAACCTAAATCCTCTTATTCTACCATCTTAGTGCATCCTACAGTATTTTTCTGGGCGTTTTAAAAATCAATCCAATTTAAGTAATCCAGCCCCTCATTATCAGCTGTGTACAGCACACTATTACCTCATCACCCATCCTTGGAGTAAGAACATGTGGTTTCACACAAGTTTTCCAGGTCTCCATGTTCAGTTTGCTTCGGGATCTTTCAGTAACAGCTGTTTAAAAGCAAGCAGATATCCTTCTTTCTGCTGAGTTTCAAACAGGTGGCCAGCATCTTACACTGCTGTTTAGTAAGAGAATTTTAATTTCATCCTCTTTGCAATTGAACTTGCCCTGAATGATTGTACTCCAACATGAATGTATCCAATGGGTCATCACAAGGCCACAAAAAGTGTTCTCGTTTCCAACAAACATCACATAAAATAATGTAACCGTTACTGTGGTCACTAATAGCGGAGAATGCCGAATTACTCAAGTTAAATTCTAATCTCATTCCAGGTTTAGCCAGTCTGATCCAGTCACCGGTTTACTGGGGTCAGGCCTATAGAATACAAAATATTAACCTTTGAAGTGGCAATCCGTTTAATATGATCAATTGGTCTGAAGTGAAAATACTATGATATTTCATGGCTCTAAATCTTTTCCAATTATAGGAATTCAGTTGACAATATAGATATAGCAAAATGTCATTTACATGCACGACCAATTTTCCATATAGGCCTGTGAGATACTGGCAAAAATGTAGTTTGTGTGTGAACGTACATTGAGGTTTTTAAAAAAGAACTATTCTGAGATTGGTATGACATAATAACACCCCATATACAATTTCACACAAAAGTATTTTTTCATGCTAGTAGCAAAGACAAGTCTTTATATTTTGCTGTATATAGTTTGATGTGAAAAACAGACCCACCGAGAGAAAAAAAGCAAAGCTAGAGAGAGAAAGAAAAAAAATCAAAGCAGGAGAGAGAAAGAAGGGTTGGCAGGTCTGGTACTATTGTGATAAGTATAATTTCTGATGGAACAATGTTTTAGTTGGCACCATAGCTAATTTGTATTTAGGGTTACTATCTGTACAATTTATTCATCGGCAAAGGGATCAGTCCCAATTAGTGAAGATAAATTGGCTCTACTATATGTAGCAACAGATTGGTTTCCACCATCATACCACAACCACCCGCTCCAAAAGAGCGATGGAAAGGACCACCAATTTTCAGCAAACAGACAAAGGTTATGTAATGTCATTGATCTCAGACTTTGTAAAGCACGTGTTCATTTAGAATATCTTAACATTTAAAATAATTAACTTATCCATTTGAAAAAGTGCTGCTCTCATCTCTCGACTGAAGAAGACTGATCACAGGTCTATTGGTATGCCTGAAATTCTCAATCAGAGACTAATGTATAGAAACTCACAAGTCTGCATACCTCTCTTTATAGAACCATTACTAGATTGACATTTCAGTCAGTTTTCAACACTCATAAGACGCTTCAAATTTCAAATCATGTTCAATGTCTTGTGAAACAAACTATAAACCAGGGTGTATGTAGATCCACTATTCTACATGAGCAAAGACAATCCTATGCACCTTTCTGTCACACACTTGTATCACTCAAGTGAAAAAATACAGTTTATATGGGAATTTAACTCACACCAGTTCAATTTAATCCTTCAATGAGACATATGTGTATGCTGATCAGATTAGTTGGGTGCTAAGTGACTAAGGGCAGACTGCCAATTGCCATTGTTCTGAACAGTTTCTAAACACTTAGCATAGTACATGAATTGGATTCTAAAGTCTTCTAAAATGTGTTCAACTGAACCAGCTGAGAACAAAGAGGGATGCAGACACCGTATGTCAGGCACAATATCATTATTTTCTTATAATAAAACATCAAATACAGTGTGATCTTCACCGCTCAAACACAAAAAGTTACCAATTACTATGGAATATTTAAAACAGCATCACAAATATAAATTCTACTAAAAGGGCTCATAAATTTCACAAAACAAGTAATTTACATCACTCAGAAATCTCTACAAAAATTATTTAAAATGTTGTACTTGACAATTTGTACTTGATTCCTTATTACATCAATTTCTCAAATTGTTTCACAAAAGGATTTTGAAGTGTAATGACTATTTGTGGACACATGCAGCAGCCAATTTTGCACACAGCAATATCCTACAAGTAGCCATGAAGTGAATAGTTTTTTTAAAAAAAATGTCAATGGCCAGGACACCGGCAGAAATTTCTCTATTTGAGTCGGGCCATGAGATCTTTAACATTTATCTGAACAATAGCTCATCTTTGAGCACCTCTGACAATGCAGCACTTCCCCAGCACTATTTGAATGCCAGCCTTAGAATCCACAACCTTCTAAAGTGGGAGGAAAATATTCTACCAACTGAGCCAGACCAATAAATTGTCTAAAACAAAAAAATTGTGGTTCTCAATTATATTTTTCTGCTTTACTTGAAAATAGTTTCTAACATGTTAAACGCTTTCCTAATGTGTACATTAAAAAGCTCTTCACATTAGGATACAGTTTAATTCCAAGTGTTTTATGCATTGTACCTTCATGCAGGTCAACCCACCTTGGACCCGTCGAGGCTGATTATCCTGTACACATTGCGTGTACTGTCATAGAAGTAGGACACAGTCACAGCGTGCTTGCTAGTTGGGACCCAGTTCTTCTTGGTGTTAGGGTCGATCTGGAAGACGTGGGCTCGCGTGCTAAAGATGGGTTGTTCTCTGAAGGACAGAAAGTAAAAAAAATTATGAACTCGGTTGGGCTGCAGAATTGTTGTACACAAAAACAGGCTGGAGATGGAGACAGGACTTAATGCCATTCACTTCAGTTTTCATAGGGAACAAATGAGGTTCTGTTAGCAAATGCCTTCACAGCTGGAAAGTGCTAGCTGTGTAATCAGAAGAGCAAACAGCTAAATATAGAAACTAAGTATAGCAATTTGTTTCCCTTCCCCTTGCATCTATGCACTCTGCAAATATTGCCAATCATCTGTACTTGGTAAACCTTTGCCTTCAACATCAAGAAATTGCTCTCACACAAAGTACAGCAATTCACTGAGGGTCAAGTGGGACAAAAGTAAGCAAGCAGTTGAGGGGAGAGTTAGATGTCTTGGCCCAATTTGCATTTCATTTAACAGAAATCTCTACAAGACATTTTCTCTGGGGAAAAGGAGGTAAGTGAGGTCTCCTGTGTATAAACATATAAATTAAACTGGCTGCAGGGGTCTATGCTTGGCAACAGAATTTTAGAATCAAGTCGACCCTCTGTGGAAGTCTCAGTAATCCATTTCCTGAGCCAGGTGGGTTTGCAGTACTCCAAGGCATTGCTGGTGGCAGCCCAACTATTCTGGCTTGTCAGCAGGACTTGGGAGGGGCAAATCAGTCACTGGGGAACTGCGAACATCAAAGATCAGTGTTCCAGTGACTACAACTAGATCAATTTGAAAGTTAATGCCTGATGACAGATCCAAGGGACACCGGTTGGGCACCAGCTTTGATAACATTGGCAAGTTTCAATCAAGTGTAAATACAGCAAAAGTGCATGTCTTGTGTATATAGGAGCAACAAGGGAGTGAGGGCATGCAGGTGGCTCAGTTCATCCTTCTCTCATTAAGGAACATGATGCACAGGTAGGATGGCTGCACATTGTTTTGGGGTCGGGCGGAGAAACAAAGAAATAAGGAGAAATGAAACAGAATACCCTTGATAACTTGTCACTTGAGGGAAAATGGTTCAGTGACGAGTTATCCAGTGTCAAGTTAGTGGTGATGACAAACTAAGACAGGCTCAAGTTATCAGGTGTTTACTGCATAATTAGCATACACACACACACACTAAGCAATTCATAAAAGGCACATTTTCAGGGTTTCCACTGGCTGTGGCAAGTATCTGGCCCTTCTGTGCTACTGATCAATAATTTACAATCTGGTATTCTAGTAGAGGCAAGCCTTTCACAGAAGTTTGCAAACTGTACATTATAGCGCTTAGATTTTGGAGGATGTTTCTAACAATTTCCTGACTCTTGCATTTTCTAAATTCCATCAATCTAGGGCAAAATCTAATAAAACATATGAACCATTTTACCATATTTTTGTCAGCCAGGTGTTTCACATGTGGAAACCCATCACCATGCTTATCCAAACAAAACTGAAAATTCCATGCATCCTAAGCCACCCGCCCCATACACACAAGATGCAAATAACTAACCCTCCAAAACTGCTAAATTAGGATTTTAATTCCAGAATTGATCTTGCTAGAGACAGACTAATAACCCTCCTTACATTTGATTTAATAACCTTTAACGTCAGGACTGTAACGTGTAGTCCTTCGGATGGGACGTTAACCTGTTCAGGCGGACATTAAAGATCCTATGCCACTATTCAAAAAGAGAAGGGAGTTTCTCCCAGTGTTCTGGCCAACAAATTCCCCAAATAAAAAAAAACCTGGTCACTCACTCCACGGCTATTTATGGGACATTGCTGCACGTAAACTGCCTGGCACTTCACCCATGAACAAATGAAACCCACTTTACTGTATACCCTGTAAAGTGCTTTAAATTTTTTCAGTTGAATGTCAACAAGATTGAAGCCCTCCTGATTGGCTCCCGTCAGCGCCTCCACACCTCAGGCGCTGACAGCATCACTATCCATGGATGCACACTCCACCTTACAAAGCTAGTCCAGAACCTTGGCATCTTGTTTGAGCCTAAACTATCCTTTCTACCCCATATCCATGCCATGACACACTCTGCCTTTCCCCACCTCCGCAACATCACCGGCTCTGCCACTGACTCACACCGCAGGCTGCCGAGAACCTCATACACGCACTCATTCATTACATCAAGGCTTGACTATGCAAACTCCTTGCTTGTCGGCCTCCCCAACTCCTCCCTCCATAGGCTGCAGATCATCCAGAACTCTGCAGCCCGTGTTCTATGAACCAGGCTCTATGACCCTATCACTCCCATTCTTGCCCAACTCCACTGGCTTCCCATCACACAGAGGATACTGTTCAAGATCCTCAATAATAGTGCGAAGCGTAAAGAGTCAGGCTCACTTTGCATTCTATTAATTCAACAATACAGTGACAGCTGTGTCAATGTGTCCAACATTACCAGCACAAAACAAAGCTTTCTTTTATAGAACTAAATCTAGAAATCCTAATCTTAAACTTTTGAAAGGTCATTTAACACAAGTACAACAAATGGAGGGGACGCGGAAACGAGTCAGCTTTTTTTTTTGAACTGCCATCTCAATGCTAACTACATATATATATAGAAAAATCACAGCTTGCTATGTTGAGGAATAAAATATAAAAGGCACTAAACTAAGGGTCATCGGAATGCTTTTGACAGGTGCCAAATTGGGTGCGGGGGGGGGGGGGGTTGTCACGTAAGTGGCTGAGGGTTAATCTTGGCTCTGCAATCTGTCATTCTCCACAGTGGTAAACTGACGCATTAAAAGCAGCAACTGTTCACTCAGTAATGCTTGAAATTACACCCGTTGTTACCAACAGATACTGTATCTGAAATTCTCACAAGCTATGCAAATTATCCCTTGAAATACAATTGATCAAATCAAATTCACAAAATTAGGCTGATATCTTGGGAAAACAGTGTAAGCAATAGTTCTTGGGGGGGTGGGGATGCAAATATAGATCCCTTGATGCTTTTCTCTCACCATGGTTTACTGCAGTTTTCTCAGTGTATGATTCAGAATTCAGATCTCATACCCCAGTGGAATATCATGTACTTTTAATTAGTTTTATTGGACTTCAAGCACTTTTTCTTAATTAGTTGTATCTAATTATTTTTCTGATTTTTCTCCCCACCAACATATGCCCCTCTGATCCTAGTCTCTTCTAGTTGGGCTTATTTTACTAAGCTCTGTTGTGACAGAGGCAAGAACCCATTGTCAAATCTCCAGCTTCAATTACCTGTGATTTCCTCTTCTCTTGTGAGAAGCAGTTCAGCTTCTTCCTTCTGAACTCCGATCACAAACTGAGCAGAAGAAGCATGAACCCCAACAAGGAGAACCGACCAGGAGCAGAGAGGCATATATTAGTGGGGAGAATATTTGAAGAGTTGGACACAACTAATTAAAAAAACATGGATACTGGCTGCCCCCTGGTACCCTACTCAAGTGGCCCCTGTTCATGAGCGAGCCTTGGCAGTGAGAGGCCACTCGACTGTAGAAAGTCATCACTGAGCTTAATCTCTTCTCACCTGGCTGCCACACGTGTGCAGCTACTTACATGATGCGCAAGAGTGACTTGAGCAGGAACCCAGCTGAATTTTCCCCTCCCGAACTCCTGGAGGGCCAATTAGTGTCACACAGCTCTAAAACATGATATTTTGTATGCCTATATGCAAAAATTACAACATGATCAGATTGTGTCCCATTAAATACAGTACTTTACATCCAGATAGGATGATATTTTATACAAATACAATATGTGAACCATGCACAATTCAATATTCTGACACTGACTGTATGCATGCATTAACTATACTTGAAAGACTTTTTTTGCATGTATTTCTACAAACTTTTCCATTATCAGTTTGTACTATTAAATGTAAGTTGTTGTTTCATTAGGGTGCAGATTATGGACATTTTCAGATGTTCCACTTGCGACATCAAAACATTTCTATACTTTCAATTCATTCGTACAATACAGACGTTTCAGAGATATCAATATAAGCCGTTGAGTATTGTACTGATCAGTATATAATGCAATACAACATGTTGCATTGGTTTGATCTGTTGCAAGAATGCCGCACAAAGCTGGACCTTGATGTTCATTTACATTTCTTGAGCAAACCAGGCACAAAAAAACTTGCAAAACATTGATAGTTCAACAGTCCCATGAAATCTGTAGAAAAATTCCAAATGTAAATTGGAACCTGCACAGATTAAGCTGTTTTTTTGAAACAGGAAATATATTTTTTTAGACTGGAGTTTCCCTGTTGTGCTATGATAGAGCTAGAGAAAAGTGCTTTTATCCCACTCAGTCATTTCCTGGGTAATTGCACTTCATAGAATCTAATTTGCCATTTAGCTTTGCTGTTCTCAGACTGTGGCGATCAGTCCATATACCACAGACTGTTCTTCCGCCTAATGAAACATTTGTGTTAGAATTCCTAAAGGAAGAACAGTCCCCAAAAGTGGTGAAATGCATATGGAGACTACTAATTATGATGGATCAGGTCAAAGAAAATAAACACTGAAGAGTTACAGAATATATAATACACATCACTGAATCAGTAGCTCGACATCAGATTACAACAATTTATTGCTATTTAGATGTAAATTCCCAAATATGAGAGCTGGCTAAACTTTACCTATCGAAGATAATAATAATAATAATCCTTGCATTTGATATAGCGCTTTTCACGTCAGGAGGACGTCCCAAAGCGCTACACAGAACATACTGTAAAGTGAATTGACTGTATATTTGTGGGCGAACGCGGCAGCCAATTGCGCACAGCAATGTCCCACAAACAGTCGTAGATTGTAAATGACCAATTTATTATTGTTTTTGGTTTTGGAGGGATTATTATTAGGCATGTGGAGTAAGGAAACTTGCCCAGGAAACTTGATCAGGAAAAGCTCAAGTGAAAGGCTTCCATTATTTAATCATACACCTAGATAAATTAAGTTATAAAACACATAGCATAGCAACTCGGTATCCATTATGAAAATAACTGAATTCAACGTTGAAGG